TGATTAATGAGGAATTTGTGGGCCCTTCACACACTGACAAATTGATCTCAGGTAGAATGGAAGAAAAGGAAGCAAATTCCCAGGGTACAATCCCCCAGCTGAGCTTCACATCATTCTCCGTTGCTGCACTAATCAGTCAGCACCGAGAGCTTCAAAGCTCTGCGCAGCCCTGCGCTGGCGAGGCCACACAGCACGCAGCCAGGCTGGCCAGAGCCTCCCAGGCACTGCTCCCGCACCTCCAGGAGATGAAAGAACCCGAGAACAGCTACACGACGCTTTACAAATTGCTAACAGGAGAGCTTTGAACAGTTGCAGCTCCTGCCGTGACTCCACCAGCAGCAGGTCCCTTTCTGTCCGGCCTCCTGGAGCTCCCGCTGGGTCCCTCAGCCCCACGGCACCAGAGCTATCAGCAGCATTTTGGGCAGAGCAGGTTGATAGTGATGCTGCTGGTGATGCTGTCCATGCCGCACCTCTGCAACCCTCCCGTGAGCTCAGCTCAGCAACGGCAGCAAATGCCACCAGTGACAGTGAGTCACTGAGCTGAAGCTACAGAAAATTCTATTTACACTCCCAAAATTCATCTTCCCATGTTGGACGCTTCCATCATCACTAACTTTTTTTTCGGTCTTGCTCTGATTGGGGCTGTAAATGCTCTACTTGTGCAAGCAGGAGCTCCTCTGGGGGTAGCTTTTGGGGTGCCCTGTCCCTGCTGCCGTGGCAGTGCCCACCCAGCTCTGCCCTGCCCCACAGTCCCTGCTCTCTGTATGGGTGTTGCAGCCCCATCTCCGTAGTGGCCCCACACCCACCTGGCCCAAGCTGTGGCCGAGGGTTTGACTCTCTGCCCAACAGCCTTTTGCCCCAGAAGCGCTACGGGAAGTTCACTGGGATCTGCCTTGGGTGACTTCCCAGGCGGACCAGAGCTGGGAGAGGCAGGCTGGACAGCATGGTGTGGACCCCCGCCTCCTCGCGGCCTCCTCCCCAACGCGCTGCCCGGCGCACACAAATTAATGACCCTGTGCGTGAAAAAATAAATAAACAGAGCCCAGACTGGCCTCTAGCCTGTCCTCCGGCCGGGCGCGTCCCTGCGCAGGGCCATCCCTCCCCTGAGGTTTCTCCCTGCTCGCAGCGAGACACCCGCGGCACGAGCACGGCGTGGACTCCCCCCAGCCCCGGACCCCGTGGGGACAGCAGCAGGGTCCTCCCGTCCCGTCCTCTCGCTGCGGACACGCTGTCACCGCCGTCGGGGACACCCGGGCGGGCCCCCCGGCGCGTCTCGGTCGGGGATGGGTGACCCCGGGACGGACTGTGCCAGTCCCCGTCGGGGATGGGAACCCCGGGACGGACTGTGCCGGTTCCCGACGGGGATGGGAACCCCGGGACGGACTGTGCCGGTCCCTGACGGGGATGGGAGACGCCGGAGCCGAGCGCGCCGTTCCCCGCCGGGGATGGGGGTGCCCGGGACAGGCAGCGCCGCGGCACAGCATATCCCCGTCCGTGGTGAGGAACGCCCTGGCGGACAGTGCGGGTCCCTCCGGGGTCTGGGGGACACACGGATGGCAGCGCCGAGTCCCGTCCCGTCCCGCTCTGCCGGAGCAGCACCGTCCCCAGCGCGCCCGCAGGTGCGGGGTGGGCGGCAGAACGGGCAGGGCAGCCCCGCAGCCCCGTCAGCTCACCTGCTTCCGAGACAATGCCGAGCCAGAGCCAGAGGGGCAGCGTGCAAACTCTCCTCATCTCCGGGGCTGCCGGCAGGTCCGTGCGATGCGGAGCGGTGCAAGCGCCCCGCGCCCGAGCTCTGCTCCCGCCGCGCCCCAGCTGCGGCGACGCGCGGCGGCGGCGGGCGGGGAACACCGGGGCCGCTTCCTTTTCCTCCGCCCGCCCGGGCTGCCCGCCGCCCTCCGCCGAGCCTCGGGGCGCCTGGCGGGCGGGGCGGGACGGGGAGGGGCGCGGAGCGAGCTGGGGGGTGGGCGCACCTGCGGCTCCGGGCACCGTCGGGGGTGTGGGCATCCCTCTGCACATGGGTGTCCCCACCTGTGTGCGTGGGTCGCCAACCCAGCAGCTGGCGGCAAGTGTGCCCCCCACCTCTGTGCGTGGGTGTGGGTCTGCATCACCCCTGACCTGTGGGCACATGAGCACTCCCCCCACCTGTGTCTATATTCATGAGCACCCCTCACACCTGTGTCTATATTCACACCTGTGCGCACCCCTGTGCATCCCCTGCACCTGTGTGTGAACGCCTGCACGTCGCCTGCTTTCTTGCCTGTGCCTGCATGCACATCCCGGCCTCTCAGGGCAGAGGGAACGCACACGAACACCCTCTCACCTCAGTGTCCATGCACCTCATGCGAACGAACACATCTCACACCTGGCTGCACACACACACCTTCATACATGTGCAACCCTGCAGTTCCACACCTCACACCTGCACGCACACCCCCAGGCACGCAGTCCTGCACACACCCCTGAAACTCCTTCCTCCTGCACCCCCTGGGGCACACGAAGACGCACACACACTTGGTGAACACACACTTGCACCCCTACTCTTCGGGGGTGCGCTGAGGGCCCCAGCTCATGCTGCCATCCCTGCGCAGTGCCAGCAGCGTGGGGCAGCCACGTGGCCCCCCAGCACCGCTCCACGTGGCACCTGCACCCCTCTCTGGCAGGTGTGCACCGAAACCCACGCACACGCCCGTGGCGTTGGCAGCCGAGCGGTGCCGCCCCACTCGTGCCAGCGGCGCTGCCCCCGCACCGCTGCCACTGCCAGCGACGGCGACAGCGGCTCCGGCTCCAGCGCGCCGCAGACGGGGGCGATGGCAGAGTTTTGGGAGCACACAGCCCTGGCCAGCTGCCTGCACACCCAATGGATGAATTAACACGGCCCCGCGCTGCGCCCCAGGGGGTTATTAATTATGCTCGCTTGCAGTCAGAGAAGAAAGAGCCTGAATGAGAGCCATGCGCTCGCGACTCCGAAAAGGCATGAAAACTTGTGGTGCGCTCAGCTGCTCGCACTGCCAAACCTGCAGAAGGAACCACCCGATCCCCCTCCTGGAGCCCTCAGAGGGACCCCAACACACAGGTCTTTTTGGCCAACACAGCCCATCCCAATTAGTCAGTTTTTAACCCTGGCAGTGCCGACCATATCGCTCTTCGGTAAACTCATATTGAATCACCTCCCTCCTTGATCCCAATGGAACAGAGAGTGGCCGTGATCCTTCGTCCCAGACGGGTATCCAAGCTCCTGCAAGTTTCTGGAGATAGATTTTTAAAACCTGCCACGATAAGGAAAAGCTGGGGACAGCACAGAGGGGGAACACTGCCCACCACTACAGGGTGAAGAGCTGAGATTGTGGGATCAGAGCCCTTCCCAGTGCCAGGGGCTGTGATCAGGGACAGGACAGCTATGGAGCTCCCTGCCATGGCAGTGTGCCCACGCTGGGGACAGCATCAGGAGTCATCATGCCCCTAAGACACGAGCAGCAAGGTGGTAAGGGGTGGACAGTGATGGGGGGATGAATCACATTGCACCGCTGAGCTGCTGGACAAAATGCACAGTCTGGAGAAGCTGAGTGTGGGAGGAACAGAGGATCTGACCCAGAGGTGAGGAGGGGGAATCCTCTGGCACCCAAAAAACCAAGGAATTTTGCCATCCTCCATCCCTTGAAGTCCAAAGGTGGCACTGCACAGGCGGCAGTGGCCAGGACAGGCCTGTCCATGCTGCCATCTAACGGCAGGACACCGGGGAGGGCTCGCCCCGCCACGGCGGGGAATTTTCCATCACAAACACAGGGCGACTGTGGGACCGGTGGGACCTTTCCATTGTTGCCGCCCTGGGAAACAAAAGGATCTTATTTTAAAATCTTGTCCCCCTTCCAACACGTGGGGGGACCCGAGGAAGCAAAGGCTTCCCCAAAGCACGTGATAAAGACACAGACAGGTCACAGAGGTGGTGCCAGAGCAGGAGCTGCTGGATGCTGGAGCCTCAGCATGGCTGTGGGAGAGGGACACTGGGATGGCTCTGGGGACACCCAGGGACAAAGCAAAGAGGTGACCCACACGGAAAAGACAGCGGGTTCTGGGGGCAGATGGAGAGATGCAGAATCTGGATGCTGGAGCACAGGGGTGCTTCATCCCCACGGTGCCCACTCTCCCATCCCCAACCCCTCCTGCCCAAACCCAGGGCCAGGCCCAGCTGGTCACTGCATTCATGGCTGTGATTCCTACTCCATGGTGCTCTGGTTTGTCAGTGAAATGAGTTTTTCAGGTAGCATTTAGGGGCAGGCACCATTTCCCCACTGGGCTAACGCTGCACTGTTTTCCCTGCATGCAGGAGCCACTGTACGTGCTGCATGCAGGGCAGAGGCTCTGCCTGTCCCAACCCTGCCCCTCCAGCAGGGCCAGACAAGGCCATTATACACCAAAATGTGGCACTACCTGAGTGCAGCACACCATGGCCACCATGCACAGCCTGGCAAAAGGAAGGACGTGCTTCCTCAGGAGACTGCTCAGCCCAGGGATTTGGGACAAGCCACACAGAGCAGTGGTTTCCCCATAACTGTGTCCCTTCTGCACCACGTGCACCCCAAGCCTGCAGAGCCCTGGGCTGTTCAGTGCTCCTGGACAGGACAGTCTGCCTGCACAGGACATCCTTCCCTCTGGTTTCTTCTGCCCTGGCACAGGCATTAGGCACCCCCAGCCCTGGCACTCTGCAGCAGTGAGTCCCAGGAATGGGAATGTTCCTTGTGGCACTGTGGGGGGACAGGGCCCTTGTGCCACCCCCTGGACAGGCAGATGGGCAGTGAAGGACATGCTTTGTCAGGTACCCCTGTGCCCAGCTATGGGAGATGGAAAACCCCACACCTGGCCCTTCCCACACTGCAGAGCCGAGACCCTGCAGGGGTCAAGAGGGCTGCTCTGTGCTCCCAAGGCTGTCTAAACACCCCTGAGCTGCAGATCGCCCCAGCACAACAGCCCCGAGCAGGCCCAGCAGCCAGAACTGCCTTTCTAACGAGCTTTATTAGTGACAGAGTCGAGGGGAGGCAGCGCAGCAGTCCCCGGGCTGCAGCAGGTCCCACGCTGGGCACGGAGCTCCCTCTGCTGCCGGCCCGGAGCCCTTGCCCGGGAAGCTCCTCCAGCAGAGGAAGCCTAAGGCCGGGATGTGGAATTGAGTGTCAAGAGGCACCTGATGGTGCTCCGGGACCAGGACCCTCCTCCAAACGGGTGGGAGCACAAAGGGAGAGGAGATGCCAGGAGCCCGTGGCCACCTCCGCTGCAGCCCCGTGGCTGCCATTACTGTACCGTGCCATGCTCAGGCATGGGAGGTTCTTCTTCCAAGGGGTGCCAGGAACCTCTGGGAATGCCTGGTGGCAGCCACAGCCCATGCCCGAGGGAAAGGAGGGCAAATGGGAACTGCAAAGAGATCCATCCCTCTCCTTCCTCCCAAAACTGAAAACAAAACAGCCCCTCCAACACCCATCAGGTAGGTCTGTGTGTGCACAACTGGCCCCCAGCACGGCCCCAGGCAGGAGCCAGGCTGGTCCCCCAGGAAAGCCCCGTCCCCCAGGACAGCCCCATCCCTCACAGGGCCAGGTGGCAGAGGCGCATGGGCTCCATGTTGTCCCTGCCGTCACTGAAGCAGGTGCTGAAGAAGGGGCAGTATCTCTCTGCAGAGACCTGGTGGAAGGTGAAGAGGTGGGACATGTCCCTGGCGTCGAAGAAGGTGACGGTGCCCTCCTCGCAGTCCAGGAAGACCCCCACTTTCCGCAGGGGGTGGCGGGGGGTCAGGCGCACCCAGGGGGTGGCGGTGGCCCAGTATTCCGTCCTGTTCCGCAGGCGGAGCGTCCAGTAGCCGTTCTCCGGGCACAGCTTGACCTTCGCTGCCCGGTCTACAGTCTCAGCAGCCACTCCCAGGTCCCACTTGGTTTTGCTGCCCACCCAGACCTCCCAGTAGTGCCGGCCGCTGTCGAAGGCCTGCGAGCCCAGGACGTTGACGCACTGACGGAAGCGCCGGGGGCTGCTGGGGACAGGCTGGGCTTGATTCCTCTCTGTCACTGCTGTCAGGTCTCTGGAGAAGATCAGGTTGGGGTGGGCTGACTCAGGGTCAAAGGTGAGTGGGGCAGGAGCTGCGGAGACATCAACCACGGCATTTACTGGCAGCACATTCCCTCTGCAGGGCATCCCCATCCCTCACACCGACGTGCTCACCGGGGGAGATGGAGCGCAGCATCCGTCTCCAGAAGGTGTACTGCAAGGGGCCGCTGTGGCTGTCCCTGTAGTACTGCAGGTCCAAGGCAGGCTGGGTCTCCACACGCACCGAGGGCCTGGGGCAGAGAGCAGCAGTCAGCCCCTCTGCTGAGCTGCTGCTGAGGCACGTGGGGAGAGCACGGGCAGGGCTGCTTCATGGGACAGATTTGGTGAAGACAGGACACAAAGCTCCCTGGCAGCTTCTTGCTCTGTCCGCAGCTCTGTACTGCAGCAAGTGGCTCAGGACAGAGGTGTCTGAGACAGATCTGGCAGCACTGCTTGTGGAGCAGGGATTCCCAGAGCAAACCTGCACCCAGCACACCCCTGCATGGGTGAACAGGCCAGGCCTGTGGAGCCGGGCTGCATCCCAGGGAGGGAGGGAGGGAGGGGACACAGACACACTCCCCTATGACAGTTCTAGCCCTCAGCTACTCCCAGCCTCAGACAAACCTGCACCTCGGGGTCAGTTTTGTGGCCTCAAGAGTAGTAAGAAGCTAAGAAAGGGCAGGGAGAAGCTGAAGCACCCACAGTCTGTTGCTCCAGCATTGTTCCCTCTTGCAGCACACTTGGCTCTTGCACCCATTCCAAACCAGCATGTCTCCACTACCCACTCTTCCAACCCAACCGCCTAAACACACGTGATCCCTGGGAGGAGCATCCAATGTTTGCTGGGGACCAGCCTCCCCCTTGCACAGCACCAGCAGCTTCCTGAGCAATGTGTGATGCTTTAAAAATTTGGGATAAGATGCCTCTCCTATGTGGTCCCAGCCAGGGACAGAGATAAGCTCCTGAAAAAGGAATCAGCTTCTTTCATGCCAGGCACGTACCTGATATCCAGGCTCTCCACCTGCAGTGAGAAGCAGAGAGAATTAGCAGTCACTGTCTGTAACTCATGCAGATGCACAAATAAGCTTCTTGTCCTGCCTCCTGCTGACACGCAGCACAGAGAGAGGAAACCAAGCTACCAGGACCCCCTTCCTGGGGAAAACCGACTGGGCACTTGGACAGAGAAGGAATAAGGCTCCCAAGACCCACCGCATCTGAAATCACTGTATCCCTTGTGGCTAAAGCCTCCAGACTCTAAGGGATTGGGCAGATAATCCAGAGGGATGGCAATGAGGATGACTTCCACGTACAACTTAATGCTGTCATTTAGGACTCTCCCCATCCCAAATTCAGATCCTGAAACATCCCTCAGCCTCCTGCCAGGGTCGGCCAAGTAGTCTCACCTCCAGCAAGGACACTTCTTCCATCTTGCCCAGGGTCTGCTCAACATGCTCGATGTCCCTCTGCAGGGCTGCCATCCCCTCCTCCAGCCGCCCGACGTGCCCGTGCAGCCGTGCCAGTGCCTGCTCCTCCTTCTTGCCCAGATCTGCCAGCACAGCTCTCTCCTCTTCCTCCAGGATCTCATGAAGGCGAGCAAACTCGGCCCGGATCTTGAAGTTCAGCTCACCAAACACCTTCTGAGAAGAGGGAGGAGGCAGAAGATGAACCCAACAGCTAAAACACAAGAAGGTGCACAGGATGGCTAGGTCTGTAAGCTTACTCTGCTTACAGAGCCCTGGAAATTTGAGGGTCTTAGACAAAGCCATGACTTTTCTGGATGGAGAACAGGACATAAGGAGAAGTTTTGAGGCTGCAGAGCCAAAAACCAACACAGAAAAACAGCTCTACCAAAGGCTCGGTCACCTTAACTAGAAAACCTTGCACACAGCCACAACCTTCCCCCACACCACTAGGAATTTGCCTGTGGGCAAGACTGGACCTCTTTAATTTTTCCAGAGCTGCAGACTCAGCTGTTCTGGTTAGTTTGGATTTATTTCACATCATTCCAGACTGTGGGCAGAGCTGCCTGACGCTGGTAACTTGCTTTCTTTCTCAGATGGCTCCGGGGAGCTGCACAGACTAATCTCAGTCATTAAGGCTGATAAAATCTCATTCAGCTCTTTCAGAGGTCACTTTTTTCCAGTTGTTTACTCGGCCAGCCAACCCTATGGTGCTCTTGCAGCCTTCCTGCCTGTTTACGAGAGACAGCCAATGAATTTTTGTTTTCCCAATTTTTAAGCTTTTAATCTCCAAGTACAACCTTAGCCCTCGTTATTTTCTCAAGGAGTGCTTCCTGAAACGCACATCCCTTTCTCCACACAGGAAGACCACCTCCCTCAAGATACACCTGAAGCTTCACCAGCCTCCCTTTGCTCTGGCAGGTGCTTGTGCTGACACACCAGAACTGTAGAGGATGTGCAAGGCTGCCCTGTTCCAATTTGCTTCTTTACTCGAGACACAGCCCTTGCACAGCAATGGGACAACACGTGCTTATTTGCCAGTACTTCTTCACTAACCTCAAAAGTCTGTTCCACATCTGGCAGTGGGACAGAGGTATGAAATGGTGCAGGCTGGGGGATCAGAGGTTCCAGTCAGAAGACAGTCTCCCGTCAGTTTTATCTCACCTCTGAACTACTTCCCTTTTCCTCAAACTCACCTTCCTTAGTTTCCAGTACTTTTATGCCACCCAAGAAGGAAGCACAGTCAGCCTGTGGCTGTTCTTGTTTCCCTGATTTGTTCCAGGAGGGAGCCTGGTGCCTCTGAAGCCAACAGAGAGCATTCAGCCTCCTCCCATCACCTCAGAGCTTTGCAATGAATCCAAACAACATCCTTGTGATGAGGCCACCACTTGTGTAGTGCCAACAATGCCACTGACCCAGCTCCTTCAGCTTTGCTGCCACCCCTTCAGACACATGAGAGGATTTTAGAGCTGCCAAGGATTAACAGCCTCCCAAAGAGGCAGCACTGCAGAGCCAGAACAGGCTGCTCACCCCACAGCTCTCACCATGCCTCAGCCCTGCTGCACCAATGCACTTTGTAAACACTGCACTAATGAGTGCTTAACGCTCTTTCCAAAGCCTCTGCTGAATATCCAGCACTGACGGGCTTTGGCCTGTGTGCAGGGGAGTTTGTGCAGATCTCCTCATATTTACTCATCTAGATTTTTACAGCAAGCTGAGCTAAACCTCAGCTGAAGTGCTACACAGATCCTCTATGAACATTGACCCAGAGGCTGTAGAAAGAGAAGCTCCCTCAGGGCATTACCGTGAGGCCACAGATCTCCTCCTGCACCACACGCTTCCTCTGCAAGAACTTCTCCATCTCCTTCTGACGAGCTTGCAAAGCATCTTCCAGGTGTTTCTGTAGGAGGAAAAGAAAGTAAGGAGGCCATTTCACTACACTGCTGTGAGGCAGGAGCAATCCCAGTTCCTAGGGTCAGCATCAAGAGGAGACTGCCACAGGATCTCATATAAAGGCTGTAAGGAGGAGCAAGCACCTGATGCACAGGGCTTGAGAATTACGTAGGTGTGCATGTAATGAATCCCATTTATTTTTAAGACTGGGAGCTCCAGCCTGAGATATCTCTTTGCAGGAGCTTTAAACCCAGTTTACTGTGAATTGAGCTCTGCAGGGACCATCCCCTCAAGCACTGTACCTGGCACAAGCAGCCTTCACCCTTGGCTGCATGGTCCCTACATGAGAAACAATGAGGCTGTGGTGGGAATCAGGAACAGCAGTGATGGAAACAAATGCAAGATCAGGAAGGGTTCAGAAGACAGGCAGCTAGAAGGAAACAGGGAGAGGGAATGAATGAGGAAGAGACACAAGTGTCACTGCACTTGGGTCAGGTAAGGTGTTGCAGCAGGGGAACTGTCTGTGGGAGGAGGGGGTGGTGGGCTTGTGGTGGCTGCACAGGGCTCATGTGGCATCTGTCCCCTGCTCCCAAGCCTGGCAGAGGCCACTCACCTGCATCTTCTGCTGGTGCTGGGCAGAGCCGCAGAGCCGCACCTTCTCCACCAGCCCTGCCAGCAGGTAATGCGTGCGGAACGCCCGGCTGGGGAACTCCCGGCGGCACTGGGGGCAGGAGGGGACGCGGGCACAGCTGTCCCAGTAGCCCTGGATGCAGCCCTTGCAGAAGTGGTGCATGCAGTCCAGCATGACGGGCTCGCTGAAGAGCTCACAGCAGATGGCACATGTCAGCTCCTCCCGCAGGCTCCGGTCCTGGCTCCTGCCCGCCATCCCTGCTGGCGCACAGGTCCCACCATGAGGGTCCTCCCACCACCATCCTCAAATCCCCTTCCCTCTGGGCTGGGGCGGATTTTTGCCTCTCCCGCGCACTGGGGCAGGGTTTGGCTACAGACCTCGGGTGGGAGACACGGGATCTGCTCAGGCGTCGCGCTGGGTGTATCCAACGCTGGAAAGCCCCGAACTGTGGGAATTACAGAGCAGCCCTGGCCAAGGGTCAGCGCCTTTGCAGAGGAACAACTTTCTCTTTCCCGTCACTTCAGCAAAAGTGTTCACAGTGTCTGAGAGGGCCCCAGGGAGGGGGGTCAGCAGTCCCCACCTACACCACGGGTTGCTCCGGGGTCAGCCCCGCTCCGTGTGTCGCACCCGAGCAGTCCGAGCCCCGCCGCGCGCCCCGCCTGCTCCCCTGGGCGCAGCCGCAGCCCCCCCAGATCCTGGCGAGCCCCACCGCGCTCACGCTCACGCTCACACTCTCCCGTCCCGTCCCGTCCCGTCCCGTCCCGTCCCGTCCCGTCCCGTCCCGTCCCGTCCCGTCCCGTCCCGTCCCCGCAGCACCTCCGAGCCTCGGAACTTGCTGCCTCCGCCCCGCCCCACCAGAGGATTGACATCCACACGGACCAATCATCGCGCGGACGGGCCTCGTGCCCGCCCGCTCATTGGGTGGGCTCCGGAGGAGGGGCGGGGCGAGGGGGGTCCCGGCATGTGACGCGGTCACGTGCGCGCGCGCCGGGCCGAGTGGCGGGGCTTCACGCGCCGCCCGCGGGAGCGCGCGTGCCGGACGCGCGGGATGGGATGGGACTGACGGACACTGTCCCTGCACTGTCCCTGCACTGCCCTTGCACTGTCCCTGCACCGTCCCTGCACCGCACAGCTCCCGCCCCACTGCCACATTGAGCCTGCAGTGCAGAAATGAGCTCCAGGCCAAAGCCTCCCCGTCTCTGCCCTGCTCACGGGACCTTTCACAGCCCAGCTCCGGCCAACGCTGTGGAGTCACAGCTTCGGGTCAGCTCAAGAAATCACAAGGGCTGTGGGATTGTTGGTGAAACAAAGAAAGAAGGAAGGGCTTTCATCCTTGTGTGGTCACCTGATGATGGGCCCTGGGACGATGTGGGAAGTGGCAAACACTGGTGGACATGTGAGAAAAATCACAAGAACTTTCAATACTGGAACTAAAAACAAATAAAGCTGAAAGGAGGGGGGCACAGGGACTCAAAAGAGTTGTACAGACCACCTGTCTCCTAACCACTGTTAGGATCAGAACATGTCCCCAAAAGGGTGATGTGCCAGGCACTGTCCATCCACTGCCCTCCTCCTCTTAGTGCTCTGTCTTCTCCTTATTAGAGCAGTGCAATTAGTGCAGCAAATATTTCTGCCCAACTTCATTTGCCTGTCTGAGGGATTTTCCCAGGCTTTCTCTTGCACTGTGCGTGCTTGGTCACTGGCATGTGGCCACAGCAGCCCTGCCTGCAGGCATCAGCCTCTTCTATGTCCCCAGCAGCCCCCCAGGATCACACACTCAGCCACAGCCCTGCACTGATGTTTGGACTTGGAGCAGTGCTGAGTGCATGAGCTGCAATCAGTCCTGGGGATGCTGGCCATGGGCAAGCAAAGTGCACCCCTGGGCCTCTGGGTGGCCAAGCAAGTGGCATCCACAGGCAGCAACAAGGTCAGGCCATGGCCAGATAACTCCCACACAGTTATTATGAGGGCTCTGAACCTGCTCCAGCTCGCTGAGGGAGGTGAGAGTTGGCTGCACCATCTTACTCCTTTACCCGTGGTGGCAGTGGGATGGGGGTGCTCAGTCCCTGCTGCTCAGTGGGCACTGGGGGACAAGAAGCACTCGCTGGGCATGAATTGTTTCCAGCAGGCTGAACCTACTCCCACCGACACCTTTTAGCCCTTCCACCGTACAACTCAGCAGAGTCCTCCTGGGAATATCACTAGGACAGTGACACCGGGATCCAGGGATGCCTGAACAATCTCCACTTAGCTGTGACTTAATACAGCAAAACCTCACTCCTCCTGTTTGTGGTTTCGTGCTTCCACTGGGCTGGCCCTCGCCAAGTGAACAGACCAGGCTTGCCGGGAGCAGAGCCAGTGCCAGCCCAACGCGGCACGAGAGCGGCTGGCGTTACATCCCATCCTCCTGCCACGTGCCAGCAATCCCGAGAAACAGCTGGCATTGAACTCGTGAGTTTTGGATGGGACCTGAATCATCTGCTTAGATGCATCTTTTTGAGAGGGAAATGGCTTCATCATCTGTGTCCAGCCTCTGATCTCCTGGCTTTGCCACCGTTCCTCCAGGAGATGTTACAGACTGTGCACAGACACACAGACGAGCAGACAAGACACGCTGCCCAGAGTGAGCCAGGATGCTGCTCCCTGACCTGTGGCAGCACCATAGTCCATTATTTGTGTGAGTCTGCATAGAGGTCAAAGCATCAGTAACTGCTTTTCAGCAGAAATCTGGAATGTGCTGCCAAAGGTTACGTTTCCCTGTAGCCTGAGCCATCAGTGCTGGGAGATGTCCCTGTGAATCAGCATCTGTGCCCTGTTCAGAGAGCTCATCCCTCCTTGTGGGGCTGGTTATGGAGCCTAGGGAGGTGACGACCTCCCTGGGGCAGTTGTAGGCCCATTGTTTGGAGAGGTGAGTCCTTCTGTAGCCAGATAACTGAAACTTCACCCTGAAAGATGAGAATTTGGGATAGCTCAGCTGATGTTTCCCCATCAGGTCCCCTGTCAGCCCCAGGTGTAGCCTAGTCCTGGTCCCTCTGTGCAGTGTGAACAGCAGGAGCATCCCCCTGGCACGGCACCTGTGCCAGTGGATAGCTGCCTCAGGCACAGGACTGTGGGACGCTGCTCTTGTGGAACCAATGCTCTGTACCAGGGCATGGAGCTGCCAGCTTGGGTCCAGGTCCTGCAGGACATCCTGCAGCACCCAACAGTATCCTGGACCCCCCTGATGCCTTGGCTTTCCCAAACAGCTCCCTGTGCAGCTGACAGGACCTATCGCCCATGTACAATTGCTTATTTCCATCTTTGCAGGTTTGAGCTGCAAACGCAGATTTCAGAGCCAAAGGAGGAGTGGCACCATTTTACCATGCGTTGCACTATTCCATCAATCCAAGGAGAAAGTTCTAATACAAATGGGGTGTCCTTGTCATGGCCATTTCACTTTCTGGGACATCGGCTACGAGGTGTAAAACTAGCTGTGAGTGGCAGTCATTTCCCAGTGAACACATCTCCCATCTGTGGATTGAAAACACACACCCGAGCGTCCCCCAGTCTCAGATTCCTGTTTAAGTGCTCCTGGCATCTCTTTCCTTTCAGCACTCGCTTCAGTTGGCAATGTAATGTTTTTCTTTCTTTTTTTAGCATATCCCTCTCGGGAGGCTCCGGGCTCTGGGCTGGGACCTGAGAACGCTGTGTTTGGAGAGTTTGATTATGCACTGGGGAGATGAAGGATAACATGGATTGGGAAGGGTTTGGCTGAAAGCACATGGATTGGGTCCAAACCCCTTCACCGTTCTCTGCTCTATGCAATAAACATTATTCTGGGAGATGGGTGTCAGAGGAACTGTTTGGCCTTGCAGAAGGAGGGGGATGAAGTGGGAAGTGCAGTGGGTCCAGCTGCTGGAGAGCTTCACTGCGCTTTCAGTGATAGCACGAGTGGAAGGGAAGCAACTGCTGCTGATGCACATTGTCAGTCCCTGGTGTTGGCTCTCCAAATGCAGGCAGGGAAGATCCACACGGGATGAGAAGCTTTGCGTTTTGATTTCCCTGTTTCACTTTGGTTTGAGTACAAATACACACCAAGGACTTTGATTCCTCTGGATCATGCTCTCCACTGTGGCTCTGTGGGGCAGGCTAGGGGCAGAGGGGAGAAGTGGAGCTGATCTTTTCCATGTGCTGACCTGGATGAGCCCCAGGGGAAGGACTCTGTGGGGGTGAGGATGGGGCAGCCTGGAGCCAGCCCTTCCCACTGCCCGTGGCATATCTGACCAGGAGGGAGTGGGGTGCTGCCAGACCAGGAGAAATCCCAGGCTCCCCATGTCCCCAAGAGCAGGCTGCACCCCAGGAAGCTTTGCTTTCCCGCACTGAGACCAGGAGGGAGAAGAAATGGAAAGGGATTACTGTAAATAGAAAGAAAAGAGTAAAAGAAGAAGGGATGAGGTGAATCAAGGTAACAGCAGCATCACTGTTAATGGATATTACACATCCCTCCGTGACCTCAGCTGCAGCAACGTGATTTAAAGGCCTCGGTTAGAAAAGTGAGCAGGAAATGAAGCAATGCTCCAAGATATGGTATCTTTGGATAAATAGCTGCAGAATGAAGGTGACCAAAGGTGAGGCCATTATTTGCCAATATTTTCTTCCAAGGCCCAAATGACATGGCTGTTTTGCTAAAGTCAGAGCTTTGAAGGCTCTGGAGCCTTTGAAGGCATTCTGACCAGCCCCAAATATCACCATGAAATGGCAGCCATGGTCCAGATAACAGACTGGTAGAGATGGCAAGAAGTGCTGAGCAAGTTCAAACCATACCAAACATGCCATGAAAGGACCCAGGTCAAGTAAGGGCAGGAGTTTCAAGGTTTTTGTCATTTTGTCCCTCATGTGTCCAAGAGAAGGGACGAGGATCAGCATGGACAAATCCATCTCCTACTACGTGGAGCTTGCACCAAGGGACTGGGTCTCTTCTGAGCCCTTGGATGCTGCATGGCTCTGGGGAGGGGACACCCACAGCCCACTGGGGCTGGCATGTAGGAAACAGGTTCTGAAAGAAGCACAGGAGGATGAACATGGCTGAACCATGACTTTTTTTTTTTTTTTTTTTTTCCTCAGGAGGGATGATCAAATAACTCAATCCCAGTTTCATTTGCTGCTGAACTCCTCAGCCCGGTTTCCCTCCCCAGGCTTGTCAGGCAGCCTGTCACTCTGACATGTGAGATTCCCCATGCATCTCTGTGCAGCCAGGAATCCACCATGTTTGCATTCCACCAGCATCCTTCAGCACCCCACACCCCGGCGCCAAAACCAGGAGATTTCTGCAAATATTAACATTTCTGGCTACTGCTTGTTTGCCTGTTTACTCTGAGCTGTGCAAGATACCACTGTGACACTCCAAATACTGCATGGGCTTGGCCAGAGCAGCTTTGTCCTCTCAGCCTTCCGTGGGTCATGAGTCAGCCCCCAGGCAAGCCACTGGTCTCTGGGTACAGGATGCTCTGGAACATTCTTCTCCTGCATTTGGATGCCTTGTTCATGGTGAGGCTGCTGAGCATTCACAGACACGTTGAGCTGCCTCTGCAGAGCCTGAAGCATGTTGGGGATTTGGTTTT